TCATCTAACCGAAATTGCATAACGTGATAATTTACAAATAATATATGCTAAAACTAATAATCTGTGAAATGACTGTCGAGTGATCACAAAACTTTACCTGGCCAAAAAAAACGTATCGGCCTGAGGACTTTAGCAAGTCCAGATAAGTAGAGACAAATCTGCCGCCAGACGAATCAATAATCATATCAAAAAATCCACCATGCTCCTCAGGTACAATTTGTTTCAACTTATCAGACCAATCCACTTCTGTATAAAGTACACCCTTGATATTAAACTTATTTTCTAAAAAGTTAAGCTTATATTTTTGGCCTGTCGTGAAAAATACCTTGGCACCAAATGCCTTGGCAAATTGAATCAAGAATAGACCACAACCTCCACCACTGCCTGTGATCAGAACAGTTTCACCAACCTTAAGTCCACCACGAACTATGAGTGCTTGATATGATGTCTTTATAAAAAGATCAAATTGAGTAAAAGAATCACAACTAAAATTTTTTTTATATTACGTATATCTTACCAACCCAGCAATAGGTAACGTGGCAGCTTGTTCAGGTGTCAAATGATCAGGCTTCTCCATAAGATTTTTAGCCGGAACAACAATTTTTTCGCAGAAAGTGCCATCATCAGGGCCTCCCAGTATTTTGAGGACATGACGTGAAGAATGCGCATCGTTTTCCCATTCCAAATAAGGATAAATAATGACTTGTTTTCCGACAAGATTATCATATTTTTCATCTTTCACTTCTTCAACTGTACCACAAGCTACTGTACAAAAATAAGATTACATAACATGGATTGAGAATTTCAATGAAGAATTGCTTACCATCACTACCCATAATATAATTATCTCCTAATTTATAGAAACCATTCCGGATCCATTCGTCTAATAAGGAGGCCATTGTGAGAAATTATATTATAGAGCTAATACGTGAAGTGAAATAAAGTAATTACCACGATGATTCAATGAAGCAGCCAAAACTTTTACACGCGCATAGCCATCAGGAACTTCTTTCACAGGTTTTTCTTCAAAAATAACATTAGAGCTTTCTTGAGATTGATGAAACACAAGTGCCCTCATGATGACAATGACAATGTAGTAACGTATTGAGGCATATATTTTTTTGCTAAAGAAATGTTCTTATTTTACGAAATAATGAGCCTAGAAAAAAGCTGTTTTTAAAGCCATTTATCACTCCAACAAAGATCGCTGATGATTAATTGTACTGTTTGCTCAGCCATTCGTATTAAATAAAAATCGGTGATGGTGCTGTAACTAGAGATTATAAAAAAAAACCTTTTGAAGATTATTATAGGAATACATTAAATTTAGGTTTCTAAACTTCTATAAACGTCACATATTTCAAAACTGATGGGAGTTAGAAGTTGGTCACTTAATCACAATTAAGTGTTTAATTTAAAGATGACGTTATGATGTAATAATTTGATAAAGAATCGTAAGTAATATGGATATATTTATACCAAAATTCGAAGGCAATAAAAGCATTA